CCCCCCCCTGCCCCCGGCGCGGCGGGGGATGTCACTTGGCAAAGCCCGGGGTGTCGCAGTGGGGTCCCTGCCACTTGTCGTAGCACTGGCAGCTGAACTCCTCAGCCAGCCGGGAGACATCGTCACCGGACTCCAGGCTCTGGGCCACCAGCCAGGGCTTGCCGGCTTGCAGGTCAATGGTGAAGCGGAAGGGGTCGAGGTGGAGGAAGCCCTCCTTGTTCTGCCGGCGCACGCAGCGGCCCCGGCCGGAGCACAGGCTCTGGCTGCACAGATCGGCGCTGGCCGTCACGTTGACGATGTAGTGGCCCAAGGGCCCCTCCACGTAGTCCTTCAGCCTCAGGCACATCTCCTGCAACGGCACATGGTGTCACAGCCCTGCGTGGTCAGGGAATGGAGGGTCCCCGCGGGTGGTGGCACGGTGCTGCCCGCCGCACTCACCTTGGAGGTGCTGTAGTTGAGGCTGCCCCAGAGGATGATGCCGGCAGCACCTTGAGCCGCACTCTCCCCGATGGTGTTCATCAGGTCCTCCTGCACCCAAGGGGAGAAGTCAATGATGCCCAAAGCCCTCACACCACCCCAGCAGAGCTGAAGACTCCCCAGCACCCACCCATCAGCCTGAGAGGTGCCCACCGTCCCCACGTCCCCATCACCTGGGACAGGAAGTCGACGGTGCGGTCGAAGGCGATCTGGGAGTAGGGTAGGACGGGGATGCTGTCATTGAGGACGCCGCGCTGCACGGTGAAAGCCTCAGCGACACGGTGCCGGACATAGGCAAGAACCTTGTTAGTGCCATGGAAGCGAGGGAGCAGGTAGATGCTGGGGTAGAGCGCCCGACTGCTCACCCAGAGCCACCGCAGCTCCTCGTTCCTCTGCTGCTCCACCAGTGGGCAGGTCCCGTTGTAGGGCAGGCTGTCAAAGTTGTCGTTGTAGCAGTTGGGGAAGCCATAGAAACCCCAGTAGCTGTTGGGACGCAGGGTCTCACCCAGCTGCAGGGTCTTCTCCATGAATTTGCGGGCGCTCTGCTCGAACTGCTGCTTGGCCATCTGCTTCACCAGCTCGGTGGGCCACTGCGGGTGCTGCTGTCGCACCAGCTCCTCCGACCTCTGATGGTAGATGTCCATGGATGCCCAGTTGCGGATCCACAGCGGGCGCCACTTCTCCCAGTCGATGACAGCCAGCCCGCCGTAGGCAGGGCTGGGCAAGTGGACCTTGATGTCCTGCGTAGCCTGGTGGAGGTGGGCCTCCACGCTGGCATTCTGGGGGAGCCCCCCATTCACTGGCACCCCCTCGGGTGTGTAGTAGGGGAGGAGCCCCAGCTCCTCGCTGTAGAAGAGCGTGATGTCCTGCCCAGCAAAGGACTGCTGGTCGTTGGCCAACACATCGAAGACCTCCAGGTTGAGGGTGACATTGTACTTCTCGGCGCAGCGTTCAGTGGGGATGTTCCAGATGGTGACGAAGGGGCGGTCGACGAGGACGGGACCGGGTCCCCCCACACAGACCGAGGCAGGCAGGAGAAGCAGGAGGACCCAGCAGGACCAGCCCGACGCCATGGTGCCGGCGGGTGCAGGATGTGTCCCAGAGCTGCCTGGGGAGAGCCGAGATGGGCTGAGACCTGGGCCAACCTCGACGCTTTTACCCGCAGCCGGAGGTGCGGCCCGG